GAAATGGGCCAACACAAACCCTACATTTTGCAAGGCACAGCATCCTACACCACAGCCTGTTGCCTTCCGTGTTACTTCCACCACCCGGTCAGCGTGGCAAGGCAGGCCACCCTCAGCTGAGGCAGAAGAGGAAAGGACAAGCTTCACATGGGGTACGTAGGGGTGGAAAAATGTGGCTTTTTTGCTTTTCAGGGCATGAGGTGTTCTTTCTAAAACCCAGGCAGATGGGTGCACTGGTCAGCACCTTCCCTGCAGAGGCCGGCGTGCAGGAGCAGCAGCGTGGCTCCCGAGGCTGGTGAGCAGAGCTCTGTGCTAGGGCACTCCCGTTAATGAACTGAAAACATTATTAACTAAGCCAATGCCAGCCTAATGGGAAATCTGTCTCCACATATGTTGCATAATTTTTATATCATTGACCCAACCAGGAATTGTTTAATCGTCAAAGCCAGCAGGAAACCTTCAAATAGCAGGGGAGTGAAGAGACATGCACTTGTTGTCCATTAAGTTTGTGCATGCTCAAGCCTGTCAGGTTTCCTGTCCTGAACAGGGCTTTCTGCTTCTTGTTGGGCGTTATCTTCAGATCGTCTCGGAGGAGGTTCTGTGGTCGGCGGGGGCCTGACCAGCGTGTGTGTGCCTGCATCCACCGCTTGCGTCTTCATGCCGCCTGTGGGACCGGCTGCAGCAGAGGAGCCGTTGCTCGGTCAACTTGGATCTCACTAATAAAGACCACAACATCATTTGGACATGGATTTTCTGTTCAGAAGGACTGAAGATTTTTACTGCATTGGAGTAGTTTCCTACCCAGCTGTTACTGTGTGAGAGATTAAATCTGAAGGCATGAGACATGCTTGCACTCTCCCATGAGAATTCTTGCATGAGAAGAAAACTATTTTTAAATTCCGATATACATTTGTTGATCCATTTCTGTGCTTAGGTCAAAGTATGGTCAATATGCCTGAATTTTAAAATACGTCCTCTAAACACCTGCGTTTGTTCCCATTCTAGCCCTTTACTGGGCAGTGAGCCTTTTTTGTTATACGGACTGGACACGTGAAGTGCCATGAAACCACAATCCATGGCCTGGCTTGTTTATCTTATTGACTCATCCCTGCTTTCTAGGTAACTCAAGTGTAATCTGTAAACTCTTCAGAGCCACGATGTGGTCTGATATCTACACCCACAATTCCACAAGCTCTGAGGCACCCTGGAGTCCAGAGACAAAACGTTTATAATTCCTAAAATTATAAAAACCTTACGTATTCTCCACCGAAAGCTTGAAATTAGGAATGAACATATTGTTCACCCTTTTAATAACACCTGGTTCAAGGGCCAAACCAACGCATCCTGATGATACCCGAGTTCCAGTTGGGTGCTAGCATGTCCCCGGGCACCATCAGTGGCAACCGGCCTCAACCCTGAGAGGAGGCGATACACTGCAGGAGAGGGAGTAAATCACAGATTTGCTTTTGACACAGCCATATAACATTGTGATAAAACTTTTCCGGTGCTTATATGCAGAATACGTACTCCGCATTTTCGCATATTGTGTTAAAACCTGCCCCCTTGGTTTGACTCCAGAGGGAGTTTTGCTTTTAGAAAGAGGCTTGCATAAATTAAGACACCAAAATTAATTTCTAGAAACAACCAATAAGTTTCTCTTAGTTCTAGTATATCACACTGCATTTTTGCTTTCGCTTCTTTTAGAAATGAACAATAAATGTTCTTAAACTAAACAAACTGAAAGAAATGTAAGAAGTGTTGTTATGGGCATACAACTAAAATTCTGTAAATGAGTTATATGCTGTAAATGACGTGTGCTCACCCTTGTGTGTCCCTTTGAAATAGGTTAAATCAATTTTTGAGGCTTCTGCAATGTGCAATGTATTCATCTTTATTCCACATAACATTCAGATGCAATGTTGGAGATTTAAAAAAAAAAATAAATGTAGTTTTTCTATATATTTCTGTTCAGAGGAAGAGTTCCTAACATTAAAAAAGTCATAATTGATAAGTTTAACTGATAGGCTGGCACCTGGCATAAACTTTAACTAAATTGTGTTGAGTAATGCTGACAGACAGGTTGCAAATACCATACCGTAACTAAAAGGAACTCAAACATCTAATGCTGAAACTATGATGGATTCCTTAAAAGACAAGGTCCATCTAAACACATAAACAGCCCTTTCAATCTAAGATATTAAATAAGAGAAATATATTTTAAGACTGTTTTGTAAAGCCTTTTAGTTAAGACAAATAAAATTAGACCACAAATTAAACAGAGAGTCTGATTCTTCAAGTTGATGGACAAGTCATCCCTGGTCTTCAGAGGAGTTCCTTCCTGGCTGTATCTTCAGGATAACTTTCTCTGAAAATGTTTTGTAACTCTATTTTAATTCCTAATCAATCATTAAATTTCTTTTTTTTACTACAGACACAAAGGTCATTTAAAAATTAAGTGTCTCTCTTTTCTTTTTCCTCCGAACTTGACACCAAAGCTTTTGCTAAAAAATAAAACTTGAAATCCCATTTTTAATAACTTGCTGCCGAAAGCAGATACTGCTGATGGCGCAAACCCAGATACAAATGAGCAACGAGGAAATAAACTTCTGGATGCACTACAGCTAAATGAATTGATTTTTCCAAAAGTAAGCCAAACAGCTTGTAGGAAGCAAGTAATTAGTAAACAAAAGAAACCACAAAAGCAGTAAAGAACATCACAAACCTATTAACGTTACACAGAATAAAATGTTAAAGAATAATCTCAATTCCAAAGTAAAAACGATTTGCCAAAATATTAACAGCACCAATTAAAAGGCAGCCTTGCATTAAAGCCAGAGCTGGAACAAAGCACACTTTGGGTGAACACACACACACTTCAGTGACACAGAAGTGCTTTGCTCGAGCGTGTCCTAGTTTTAACAACGTGGTGATGGGAAGCTGGCGGCGGTACTTTGATGCCAGTCCCACCGCCCCACCCTTGCTCCCATTAGCCAGCTCTTAGCCACAGCTCCCATCACCAGAAGCCGCAAGCAACTTCCCAATGCATAAAGTAAACCAGCTCCCTAATGTCTTGTTGCCTGCAGAGCAGCGCGTGAGTTCAGTTTGAGGGGGGAGGCTGAGGCGTTGGCTGCGTCCTATTTCATTTGGATTGCTTCCTGGGGGAAAAGGGATCCTTGGCGGTCTGCAGTGCCTCATCTTCTGGACAGTCTCAGGACACCCACATAGGCTTGCTTTTGTTCTGGTGGGGGACTCTGGGTGCCTGCCCACAGATGACAAGAATACAAGCATTTTCTCTTTAACACAATTTATATTAAAGCTCCAAGCGAAGGCCGTGGAGGGACGAGCTGCTTTGCTAGCCGCTCGCTCTGTTTCCCTGGGAGAGACCACCGCGCCGAGGCTCGGGCAGTAGGACTCCTCCTCAGCACCAGCCTGCCTGATGGCTACGGACGTACCAAATACGTTCTCTGTGATCTCAGTGCTCCTTAGGGGGGACTTGTGTGGTTTCCTAAAGCAGTCACTCCTGTCCCTCCTCTGAGGGAGGGTTGCTCTGATGTCTGTCGGTCATGGAAGGTTCCCCTCTTCTCAAGACTGCCCCCACCAAAACCCAAAGACCTGACAACAAAACACCTTCTGTCGAGCTTGTATACAACTTTGAGAATAACAGAGCTAGTGTCGTGCTTAAAAGGGATGGCTACTTCCTCACCGCAGTAAGATTTCTCAGTGGTTTTTCTTGAGATATTTCCCTAGTCCATCTTTTGAGTCTGTTATCACAAACTTTTCATGAAAGGTTAAGCTTTCACCCCAGCCAAGACAAGACAGACAACTGAGAAGGAAAGAGGAGGAACTCTGAGAGCTTTACAGACAAGTCTATTGCCTACATACAGTGGCGAGGCAAGAACTGGGACTGTTGGCTCCTAAGGTTGTAAGAAAGAAAACACAGGTAAGATGCACACCTGTGTACGCATAGATGCACACTATGCTCTAGCTAAAGAATCTTCATCTATAATTGCTAAGTGTTAATTTTGATCTGTTCCCTGCTTTACTGTTTAAGGTCTTATGTCTAACTTTGCATTTTGGAGTAATAAACATTTGTATTTACTTTTTCATTGGACTTATTATTCCCCCACCACTTGCTTATTATGACCTTGAATTCCTGAGATACTGCAGCATTCTCTGTCACAACCTTTAGTAAGATAAAGCAACTATTTGTTACACGTTCACCTTCTGTAGTACAACTACAGCAAAATAGTGATGACTCAAATTGTAGCTACTGCTGTTTATGACAGAATGAGGATTTTTTGCTTCTCATTTATACTATTTGTTGAAGAGGTCTGAGACACTCAATGCACATTCATCGATCAGTGTACAACTTCTAAAGCCTGTATCAACAGTCTTGTATTTCCAGTTTAATATTACCGTCATGAAGGTAGACAAACCAGACATCCACACAGGACCTGGTGGAATCATCCACCAGGAACTAGCACACGAGCAGTTCACGGTAGTGGGGGCACGAACCAGGTGAATTTTCCTTTTTGATTTAGGATAACTTGATTTGCATGGGTTGTGCACGTGATTTTGCCTTTTGGATCTCCGTCTTTGCCAGAGAAAGAGAACTGCTGTGTTAGTGGCTAACTAAGATG